AAAAGCCACATCAGGATGAGTACACGTCATAACGTACATGATCGATCCAGCGACGGAAGCATATGGTACTCGACTCATTGCTGCTATCTCAACATCGGTACTCGGGCTTTGCGTCTTACTCAATTTGGTATTGCTCTGGATTGGTGACAGGGACGGTTCTCTTTGGGTGGCCGCAGTAGCACCGACAACCCATGCTTTTTCTGTACGCAGTGTAAATTTTTCAATATTATTCGGTTTTTTTTCTTTTTTCTACTTACCGGCAACACCTACTACCAAATCCTGCATCAGTCCCTGATTGATGAGTTATTTGGGGTTGTTGATGCTTATGTCCATCGCGACCTCAACTGCTTGGTTGCATATGTCTTGTGGTTTGAATTAGGTTTTGTATTCCAAACGTCGTAATTTCTTCATACGATATTTGATTGTAACGAACTTTATATCTATGTGTTCGTTTTTTAAGTCTGCTATAACTTTCGTTTAAGATTACTCATGTTAAAATATAACATGTTTTTACTTACGATTTTATAAAAAAAACATCCATACATGCATTCATAAAAAACGTATGGATATAAAGATCGTAATTAAAAAATATATTACTTTTTAACGGGAGTAATCCAAAAAAAAAGTTATAGTAGACTAAAATACAAACATATAGATATAAAGATCGTTAAAATACGAGATAATATGAAAAAGTTATTACGTTCAAAACACATGACCTAAGCTACAAAGTAGTCGAGATCGCGATAGACATAAGCAACAAAAGCTTAAAACACATCGTTAATGATTGTTCCATGTAAGATGTTGTGAGAAAAACTTAAAGAAAACATTCATAAGTATTGAATGAGTACAAAAACAAAATAAATTATTTTGCAAAAAAAAAAGGACTAAATGTGTACAAAATGAGAAATATATTACCCTGTTAAGATATTTATACCGGTTAACCTGAAATAACCGGTCATAAGGACTGAATGTGTACAATTTAACAAGTTGAAGGGGGTAAATATGAACAAAAAAAACTCAGTGATCAAACGTATACAAATTGAAGAATATATTACCCTTTTAAGTCATTATCCCTTTTTTCAATTATTAAACTTTATCATCTCCATTTTTTTTTTCTGTTTTTGTCGTGGTGATTGAGGAAACTTCACCATTTCAGGTGCTTTTTATATATTGAATTTTGTTTACTCTATTTCTATTTCAGTTTTATATCTTGTATTATGATTTATTACATAATCTAGGGTTTATAATTTGTAGGTATATCTATTTTTTCCTTGATATTCCACTTGATACAAACTTGATATGTTCTTTTGTTAGTAATTAGTTACAAAGTTCATTGGAGTAAGCGATTAGAGTAATGAGAATTTTAGAGGGGTAGTATATTTGGTGTGTTTAAGTTATTATTTTGAACTTTTTCGCTAAATTTGAGTAGTTATTGAAAGGCATCTTATAGAATTTCATGGTAATATTGCACGTTTAGCGAGTTATTTGTGTGCTTATAATAGGAATTCAAAGATTGGCATGCTTTAGAGGAATGATTTTTGATGTTGTTATACTGCTCCAATATTTTGAATTTCCATGTGTTGATGTTATATTATCTTTGTTTTATGCTACCACAGAATTATTGATCTGTGTGAACAGTGTAATCGAATTTGAAGTACATATATCAGAAGCGTAACTTTCATCTGCCATCGGAAATTGAACAGATGTTCTTACGGGTCAATGGGAAAGTCAAAATTGTGTTACCTGCGAACGTTCGGCTCGGAATTGGTGTTGTGTTTGATCGATTTTGACGAATGGGTTCGTTGTTGGATACTTGAATTATCTCAGATTCTCAATTGGGGGTCAACGGATGCAGCCTGCTGAGGTGTGCCAAGGAGTGCGAGTATGTCCCCAGCGGTGGTAGTGGTCGTTGTTTCTTGGAGTTGACTTTCGATATGAGCTGGAATGATAACGGGGGTTGGGGGAGAGTAAGACGAAGAAAAAGCAATGAGAAAGAAAGAAAGAAATGATGAATGCTATTTTAAGGGGAAGTGATGATAATGGCGATGGATTCCACATGGTTGTTCTCCCTTAATTCCGTGCTCTCATGTTCGTATACATTAGGTGGCATCTGATCTGACAAATGAGTTGGCTTTTTTTAATGATGTGTACAAGATAACTAGCTGATTGTGAAAGGGGTGACCGGGTAACCCCTTCACTTTCTAGAAAATGGCCTTAAAAACCGGTAAAAAGAGAATTCATGCCCTTATAAAGCCAAAAAAATAACAATAGGGATCTTTTAAACCAAAATGTGAAAGTTCGTGGGGCTACAGTGACATTTTTCCTATTTTTAATTTGTTTATATTATTAACAGTTAAAAAAATAAAATAGAATGGGATCCATTACCATAAACCCATGACATCTTACTCTAACCCAACCAAATACCCTTCATCGGTTCTTCTCTAACTTGGAGCTGCAGAAGATACAGATAAAAAGTAGGCAAGATAGTTGAAGAGGCGAAGTAGATCTGAAGTGTTTTTCATATGGTGGTGCTTGGGTGTCGTCGGCGTTACCGGCTACGTTGTTGGGGTTGTCACCTCTCCGGCGTCGGCCCGACTTTTGAAATATATAGACCACCGATGACCAACGACAACAATTTTTGGAACAAAATCCATTATGATTTACACATCTGGTCGGAGCTGGGATTTCAAGATCTGCAAACGATTTGTGGAATGCTAAGGGAGGAGGTAGGAGCTTTAGGATCTGTTAGTGATTTCTGGAACTCAAATTCTTGAAAAACGGGTTTTGGGCATTATGTTCAATCGATTTTTGAAATTGATTTCATTATCGATTTTGTACAATCGGTTTTGGGCAAATTTGTTTATATGATTTTTGGTAGATTTTGGGTTACCCACTCTTCCACATGCAAATCGTAAATTGCAGCCTCTCTAAACCCTAGACAAATGAAAACCAATGAAGAATGATGGATTTTTTTTTTCTGGATTTACATAAATGAAAAACAGTTAATATATTTTTGAGATTGTTCTGAAATTAATGGGTTTGTTCTTTAGGTTTTACAAAAAAAAAATATTATAGATTGTTGGGATTTTTATGGGTTTTGTTGAGTTTTTTCTTGGATTGGACATTTAAAGTGTTGATTTACATATTTTCAATCATTGGGTTGTTCTCTTCATCTCCGATGGTGAGGGTATTAGTGGAGGTACTTTTAGGGGCGGTGGTAGGTAGACGAAGATGGTTTCTGACGAGTAGAGATGATCGAAGATGAAACAACCATTGATGAAGGTTCATATTTCTTGTTTCCAGATTTAAGGGATTGGATGGGGAGTGGTATAGGCGGTGGGTTTTTCTTTTTCTTTTTAATATAATTAGAAAAACAAATTATAAGTAAATAAAAAAGGTATTAACGATGATAAAATAATCATTTTATATCAGTGAGGGATGATTCGAGTGAAATTTTAATAATACAGGAACGGTCCGAATTAATTTTTAAAAATACGAATTGAAAATGTATTTTGACATTTGGACATGGTACAATTCAGTGTAATTTACTCTAAAGATTATGTGGTATCTAAAAATGTGGATATGACATACCAAAACTTAATCCAAAGTTATATATAATTAGGTGTGAGACCCATATATTACATGAGTTTAATTAAAAAAAATATGAAATTTTAACAATTTGAAAAATTTGAATTTATAAGAAAAATGAAAAAAAAAATTAAATTATTAAAATTACTGAAACTTTAATGTATTGAATATATTACATATATAAACTCTTTCTAATAAATACTTTACATATATATTACATTACACATTAAATGTGGAATTTTAATTTAATAAAATGAAAAATACAACAAAATGACAAGTGGAAAATAAAAAAATTAAAAATTTTAAAAAATATCAAGTGTCCAAATGAAGGAGAAAAGAACATGTGACAAAAAACTCTTCATTTATTATAGTAGATTATGTCTATTTTACGATTGCCTTAATATGCTAAGCGTGGGTTTATCAATTAAGACATTGGCATTTACCTCCACTACCCTTAAGCATAAATTACTTTTTTTTTTTTTTTTTTTCTTAAAAACCGTAAGCTTCATCTTCTCCACTGTGTAAATTATAGAGATAAAAGATATTTCATAAACAAATGTAAAAAATGTTTTTGCATGCATTATGGTCTTGAGGTGTTATTCTTTCTGTTCCAACAAGCTTTTATTTTTTCGTGTGATAACACAGTGTAAATATACATGTCATTTCATTTCTTTTTTGTTATTATATGTGGTTTTAGGTTTTTATTAATGTCATACATCTTTAATTTTAATATTCTTTTTTTAGTTTTAATGACGTTACATATTTTTGCTTTTATGTTTTTTGTTTTTTTATTCTCAGCTTACTTTTAATTATTTTTATGATGATTTCAATTTATATTGTTTCGTAAATAAGAAATTATCTCCCACACAACATCATTTCTAAATAAAAAGGTAGCATATTAATCTTTTTTATACTATTCAGCATGTTTATTCAATTTAAAAAAGAAACATCCTCTAAATATAAATTACTAATTCCAAAAAATACTATACGTTTATTTGTTGGCCAATTAAAACATTTTGAAAAGTTTAATTCCAAAATTTAGTAATAACATGGGCCTATTAAAAATTGGTTGAGTGAATCTCAAAGATAATAGAATCTGTTTGCATCTAGGAAGACACCATACCTTTTTCACGACGCGTATATGGACATTTTAGTTTGCCATTTTTCTTAGTTTGATTGATCTGATTCCGCGTGGAAACTTGAAAGTTTCCTATTTGTTTCACTGAAAATATATATAATATACCTATTGATAGAGACTGCTTTTTTGGACAACCAATGTCACTATTAGACTTCAAAAAGAATTAAATACAAATATCTCATATGAGGTACGCTGACTATATAGCTTTTTACATGAGTAATATATATTATAGAACAACCATTTCCAATTCCAATTACTAGTATTTTGCCTAAATATGGAATCTGAATCATCCTCCTTACAATGGCCACAACCTTGCCGACACTTTAAATTCCCTGAAATCCGATTAGCAACCAGAAACTTCGATGAATCACTAGTTATTGGGCATGGGGGATTCGGAAAAGTTTACAAAGCTACCATCCACAATGGATCAAGTCTTGTTGTTGCTGCCATTAAACGACTGGATTCCAAGTCCGATCAAGGAGCCGATGAGTTTTGGGCCGAAGTGAAGATGCTTTCCAAGTTACGCCATTGTCACTTAGTATCTTTGATTGGTTATTGCGATGATGGGAAAGAAATGATCCTTATCTACGAATATATGCCTCATGGATCACTTGAAGATCATCTCCACAAACATTCTACTCATCTTTCATGGCTTCAGAGGCTCAAACTCTGCATCGGTGCAGCTCGCGGGTTAGATTACCTCCACACGGGTACAGGCATCGAGTTTGGAGTCATTCATCGTGATGTGAAGAGTGCAAATATTTTGTTGCATGAAAGTTGGGCTGCTAAAATAGCGGACTTTGGGCTGTCCAAGATAGGCCCAAAGGATCAGCCTTTGAGTCATGTGTTGACTCTTGTGAAAGGAACTTTCGGGTATCTGGATCCAGATTACTTCTTAACTGGAAGGTTGACTAGAAAGTCCGATGTTTATGCTTTTGGGGTGGTTTTGTTTGAAGTGTTGTGTCGGAAACGTGCATTGGATGTAAGTCGTGATAAGGAGGAGCATCACAGTTTAGCAAGATGGGTAGAAGATTGTATCAAAGAAGGCACTTTGAAGCATTTGATTGATTCTGATATAAGGGATCAAATATTACCAAAATGTTTGAAGGGGTTTGTTCGTATTGCAGAGCGTTGTTTGCATAGCAGTAGAAATCATCGTCCTACAATGGCTGAAGTTGTGGTTACTCTTGAGTCTGTTTTGGCCTTACAAGAGAAAAACGATAATTCATTGCAATCGGGGAGTAGAACAATACTTGGTAGAATGGTTGATATGTTACCATTTGCATATAACGCAGAGAATTCAGGTATATATTTCACTATTTTCATGTACATTCATCATGAATTCATATGTAACTTTTTTATATAATCTTTACTTTTACTGTATGTTGTTAGGTTGGGTTGACAAGAACACTTTTGGCCCTTCAACCCCTGGTGTTGAAATTGTTGTTGCTGTTAAAAAAACACGCCAAGAAAGCTTTCAAGGACATGATGAATGGTTGGTAAGCATCAAAAAGTGTATATATAATCAAATCTTTACAAGAAGAATTAAAGACATTGTTTCTAATTTTTTTAGTTTAATATGATGTTGCATGCATGCAGGGATCAAGAGCAGTAGATTGTTTCACAGAATATGGTGAATGGAGTAGGTATAAACTAGAGGAGGTGATAGGCACAGGAAGCTCAGGTGTTGTGTGTTCAGCATTTGATACTTTTGTTGGAGAAAAAGTAGCTATAAAAAAGATAAACGACATTTTTGAACAGGGCTTTGTTGCCACTCGCATCCTTCGTGAGATTCTGCTTCTTAGGCTCCTTCGACATCCAGACATTGTGGAAATAAAACACATCTTATTGCCTCCTTCCAGAAGAGAATTCAGTGATATATATGTTGTGTTTGAGCTTATGGAATCCGATTTACATCAGGTTATCAAAACAAATGAAAAGTTAACACCAGAACAATGTCGTTTCTTTCTCTATCAGCTTCTTCGAGGATTGAAATACATGCACTCAGGTTATTATATAACCTATCATCATCATTTTATCATTAACTACCATACTTGTGCTTACTTTTTATATTCTTTTCAACTTTCTCCATTCTCATTGTGAATGAATTGGTTTCAGCAAATGTGTTTCATAGAGATCTAAAACCTAAAAATATTTTGGTCAATGCTGATTGCAAGGTCAAGATATGTGACTTTGGTATTGCAAGAGTTGTCTTCAATGATACACCTACTGCAGTATGCTGGACAGTATGTCACTAACACTAACTTAATTACTTAGAGTAATTTAAAAATGATTGAAGAACATGATTTTCCAAATCTCTTGCATTTGATATGTGTAGGATTATGTTGCAACAAGATGGTATAGGGCTCCTGAGTTGTGTGGATCTTTTTTCTCTAAGGTGCAATTTATATACCAATCTCAAATCACAAATATATCCTTCAAAAGTAGGAATTGTTAGTATTAACTTTATCCTTTTGACTTTTTTGTATGTGTAGTACACACAGGCTATAGACACATGGAGCATCGGTTGTATTTTTGCAGAACTTTTAACTGGAAAGCCTCTCTTCCCTGGGAAAAGTGTGTTTCATCAGTTGGATCTGATGACTGATCTTTTGGGAACACCATCAACCGAAGCTATATCCAGAGTCTGTGTCTATAATATGAATATCTGTACTTCCTTTTTATATTATATATGTATAAATTAATATTGATATAACACAATCAGATACGACATGAGAAGGCGATGAAATACTTAAGCAAAATGAGGAAGAAAAAGCCGATTCCCTTCTCCAGAAAGTTTCCAAATGCAGATCCACTTGCTCTTCGATTATTAGAAAGAATGCTTGCTTTTGATCCTAACAATCGTCCTACTGCTGAAGAGGTGCGAATTGAATACTATCATATCAACATTCTTTTATCGTTAATTTCCTTATTGAGAAATATGTATTGACTTTTGATCTTTGTCTCAGGCTCTTTCGGATCCATATTTTAAGAATTTGGGTAAAGTTGAGAGGGAGTCTTCTTCTCGACCTATCGCAAAGAGGGAATTCGAGTTTGAAAAAAGAAGACTTAGTACAGAGGATATACGCGAACGTATCTACAAGGAGATTCTTGAATATCATCCCAATATGTTGAAGGATGGAAGCGAACAACCAGGCTTCATGTATCCAAGGTATGTATATATATATATAGCTTTATCATTGTTGTATGTATTCTGTTGACTTACGTTGACCTCATTGGTTCATAGTGCTTTTGACAAATTCAAGAAGCAATTTTCTGATAAGGAGGAGCATTACAGCAAGGGTAAAGTTGCTGCTCCCCTATTGAGACGCCAGTCCTTATCTTTGCCAAGGTAGTTTAATTTATAGCTTGGATGATAAATTAGATGTATATATAGTAGATTAATTGTTGTTAATCAAGTTATGTTTTTGGGTGTTAGGGCTTCCATTTTATACCCAAAAGAGACTACACAAACTAGTTCAATCAAAGAATCCAGGACACAATGCATGACTTCTGAGATGCCAAATTCAATACCACTTCTACAATTTCCTCAAGGTTTGATGATTCAGTGAATGAGATTATATTTGTATTATTCTTATGTCATTGGTTTTAGTGATAGCTTTGCTAGTAGGTGGGAGGTGATTCTTGGTGTCAGCTCTTGTTGTAAAATTCATGTATTTAAGCTTACAAATGAGTTGTAGTTTTTATTTTTAACTTATTTGAGCTTTAAGTTGACTCGACTTTGTTATATTAAGTGGAAGTGTATCAGGTTTGAGTTTACTCGGTAACCCATTTATGTATGGGATAGATGCAAAAAAATAGCAACATATTTTTAGTTATTTTTTATTATAGCATTATATTTTCATTTCTTTCTATTAAACCATTGCACTTCCAGTTTTTTCCTTATTAAAAAAGTCCACCCAGTTATAGTATTGTACTTTCAGAGAAATATTTATTAAGACATATTGTGCTTTGAAAAATCTAGCCAATTATAACAACAAAAAATTCTTCCTACTTGGTTGTTGATATTGCTATAATTGGGTATATTATTTCTTACAATTAGCACTACAACAAGCACCATGATGTAAACAAGGTTTTATAGAATCAGACAAATGTTAGTTATAATAAAGGTAGCAAATTTCATATAAGAAATACTAAAGATGTATGAACTTGAATCACTTAAGATTTGAAATGTTTGTTGAAGATGATCCCAATGAAAAAAAAAAAAAAAATTATATAGAAACAAAAACTTGTAGATTACCCAAACCACAGCAAGTTACTCTAATAATAATATAATAGTTACTGATAAAAATAAAATATCGCGCCAGGTAGGGGTCGAACCTACGACTTTCTGCTTAGGAAACAGACGCTCTATCCACTGAGCTACAGGCGCTATATTTGATGTTTCTATATTTAACATATTCTTGTAGAATCATTCGACCTTCTGTTTCATATTTTCTTTTTCCGCCAGATAATAGGAAATGCAACTTTGAAAGTTTTCGGACACAGTCAATCCGCATTCTCAGCAGCATCACGACTTGCTAAAGAATACTAGTCGAACGCCTCAACAAAGCTGCCATTCTCTTGCGATTGCTTGATTCTGAAGCTCAGAATTGTCGTTATAAAGGTGGAATCTCATCTCCTTCTCCCGTTTTTGTTTATTTATTCCAAACACCATAGAAATGGGTTTCAATATTGATCTTCTTTTGCTATTTAGACGTTGATAATGTTTAAGATGTTCGTTTTCGTATCATTCCTCTGATTTTTTCTTCTTGTAAGCATTGCAAATTAGGGTTTTGGTTTTGGTGGCCTTTCGTTTCTTAAATGACCCGCCCATTGTAAATTAGCATTGTAAGCATTGTTAATTAGGTTTTTTATTTTGGTAGGTTTTTTTGGTTTTTAGGAGTTGATAATTGTAATTAGACTACTTATTGCTTCTACTTATCAGTTATCACAACACATACATACATACTGTTTGTGTTCTGCTCTTGGTTCAGTCTTTTGCTGCTACTACTCATCTGCTCATGTTTTCGCTCATCTGCTCTTCGTTCAATGTTGTTGATGGATTTTCATATGTTTCTCCTGGTTCTATGATTTTGCATAAGATACATGCTTATGGTTCTTTGATAGGCATTTATTCAAGCGAGATTGAGAATATGTGTTACTGATTTTGTGACAAGTGCATAGTAATTTGTATACTGATTTAAACATGAACAATCTCAACTACAAACTGAAGTGGAATCTCAGTTTTAACCTACAGTTGGATCTAAGTTGAATCAATGCAACATCTTTAGGACAAACAGTGAAGGAGTAACCTCTTAATAAGAAAACCAAACAACTTTTTTGAATCAGATTTTCTCAAGGCCATGGAGGATTCCATTACACAGTTCTGTGATGGTGTAGCTCGATTCTGCAACCACCTTGAATCCAGCTCAGCCGCCCTCCTCCAATCTGTCAACCGCCGCTCAATCCCTTTTGGTAATACAAACACACACACATATGCTCCCTTTTGTTTATAAAAATTGTAACTTTATAGTTTATATCTAATCTTTTTTTGTTTTTTTTTTTAAATTATTAGATTCTGCTTCATTGTCATTTGTGCAATGTCTGAACCGAAGAGTATCAACTGCCACCAGTGACCTCAACCTTCTTGAGTCCATGTCCTTTGACACTGTCTCATTTGAGGAGTTGCTTGGACACTGCAATGAGGTTTACAAAAACAATCAAAATCAAATTCTTCAACTTGAGGATCACCTTTCTGCTTTTGGATATGTTCCTGGTATGCCATATTCTTCTATTAGTTTAATGCTTGAGAAATAGCAACATACTTTACTCTCATTGCTAATATGGGCAATGTACTTTATTAGTAAAATTGTAAGTATGTTGCTATTATAGGTAAAAAAGGGTAGAGTATGTTGGTATTTCCTGCAATTTTCCCTGATTTAATTTGATTTAAGCATATCTTTGTTTATTTATTTATAATTAGATAAGTTATTAATCTAGTACTATGTATGTAGAAGTGGAGATTGATGAACCAGAAGATGACTTCATAGAGTCACAACCAAATACTAGTTTGGATTTCAAGAACACCATGGAAGATGATTCTTTGTATCCTTAAAAGTTATAAATGTTTAATTAAATTTCATTTTTCTTCCGAAAAAAGTTTCTCTTACAAAATAAGGACCAAATCTGATAAAGAAAATTTTTAATATGGAATTATGTGATATCATTACATTTCTTAACTTTTTACTTAGATTCGAAGATACACTGAGTTTGCAGAATCTTGGGATTTCAAATGCTTCTCTTGCCACTATTGTATCTGAAGGTTAAGATCGATGATTTTCTTGAATTATTATTTTCAATGCCATGAAAAATTAATTAAAATTTATCAATATTATATTTAATTGAAGGTAAAAACAAGATTGACATGAATGGATTGTATGAGCCAGCAATGGATACCCCAGAAGTAGAAAGTAAATTTCTATAATCAGCTCTCTGTTTTTTTATTTATCTTTTTCTTATTTCTAACATGACAAACACCTTCTTGTTGCCATTATGTGAAATAGAAGATGAACAAAATGAGTTGAAGCCATTTGAAGATTCAAAATCTTTAATTTGTGTGGGTAAAGTTGTTTATGAAAGTCTTCCTTCATATATGAAAAGTTTAGCATCATGGGAGGTATATATTCATATCACATATCTGTTAGAAATTTAGTGTTCATAATTTGATTGAGAAATTGAGATTAAAGGTTATTAATTTGTTATATTATAGGATTTGATTCATGCTGTTGAGAAGATGAACTTAAGTCTGGAAACCAAGAATGGAAATTTTTTCACTCAAGATGAAGTTTCATTACTGGAGTTAGGTGAGTGTGACATTTGACACATTCTTTCTTGTTTGAGTTTTTGGTGCTAATTGAATACGTTTTTGTTTTTAATTTTGAATTTGGTGTTTGTGGATGTTTTTTTAGGGCATAAAACAAGATCGTATTTGTTGTTATTGGTGAAGATGAATTGCATAGTTGTGGAGACCATTGATGGGTTGATTTCTTATAGAGTGTTGTAGGCACTACTCACTACTCAAGAGGGAGAATTATAAATAATTTGTGTGTTGAAGAGTTGCTATAAATGAATAATACTTGTGACATTTTGAGTGTGTGTGTGTGTGTGTGTGAGAGAGAGAGAGAGAGAGAGAGAGAGAGAGAGAGAGAAAGAGAGAGTACATGCTAAGAAGGTGAAAGCCACATTGGCTTTTTGTGAAAAACCATCTTCATTTTTAGGTAATGTCAAATCATCATATTGTGAATTAAGTTTTTTATTTTCTCTTATTATATGAATGTTTTAATTTTACACTCTTATTTTTTAAATATTAATTTTATTTATTATATCTTTTTAATTATAATTTTTAGTAATAAAAATAGATTCACAATAAGATGTTGATTATTTTATATTATAAAAGTTGCTTATAACAGAAGTGTAATTGTATTTATATATACATAGGTATAAAAGCATGTCTTGAGCATAACAAAATAATGACCTGGTATTGGTAGAATATAACATGTTTCAGACAAATGTGTAGTTTCATTTCAACTTATGCACTTGATATCATTTTCAAAACTCATCATATACTATTTCATTCAATAGATAAATTTTTGGAAAAAAAAAAATCTTGATTTATTAGAATGCAAATCATTAAAAGATGATGATTTTGGTTGTGATATCTAGCTAAATACGTTTAATGCTCACTTCAATAAGCAATCAAGGCTTGGTAAGCTAAGTTTAAGAGGGTGTTTGGATAAATGCATTTTTAGCTTAATTAGCTTATTGCTTATTGTGGTGGGAATAAGCATTTTTTTAAAATGTGTTTGGATTAGTTTATTGCGGTGGGAATAAACAATAAGCAATAAGCATTTGAAGTGTTTGGCAAACAAAACAGCTTATATGAGTAAAATGACTAATAAGCAATAAGCAATAAGCATTACCCCCCTTGCTTATTAAAATCAGCTTATTTAGCTTATTCCCACCGCAATAAGCTAATTTTTTAAGCATCTTATCCAAACACTTAAATTAGCTTATTGTGGTGAAAATAAGCAATAAGCAATAAACTGTCATTTTTTTCCCTATTCAAACACCTTCTAAGTAAGGAAGTTAATAAACATGATCGTGCCATCAACAACTTTGGTTTGTGAACCTATTGCTCACAAAACTACTTATAGAGTTATAGGGCCTAAATGGGGTCTAATTTATTTGATCTAAACCAAGAACCGAATACACATAACACACACTCAATTGGGTTCAACGCATTCTTAAACTATGAATAATTGACGCATAGCTCATACTTCAACAAAAAAAATAAGTAATGTATAATTCATATCCACTTATGGATGAACATCCATACATAACACACATAAATAAATAATTGTATTGACACGGTATTAAGAAAAAATTTATGCCAAAATGTAAATAAAAAACCAACCTAAATAATGATTTGGGATTTGTATTTATAGTTAGAAATAAAAAATTATGATAAAATTTTAAGTCCTAAAATAATAATGATAAAAAAAAATTAACATCTTAAACTAACAAAGGTATAAAATTAGATCTCAATAAATAAAGAATAAAAGTTCAAATCTTCGTACAGATGTAAGGAATAAAAATAAAGTTTATTAAAATAAACTATTTATCAATATCAAAACCTTAGGATTTATCATTGATGGTCACCATATCACCTCCATCAAATCCTTGTGTACACGAAATTATTATCGTGCAAATAAAACTACCCACAATAATTAATGAGTGACATGTTATATATAAAATAATAGTTTATACGGGACCAACATTGAAATGATAATTTATGATGGATCGACATCTTTAATATGAAATTATAATTTATGGTGGATTGACATCTTTAATATGGAATGACAATCAATGGTGAACCAACATTCTAATAAAAAATGATAATTAATGGTGGACTATCATCATATATATGAAATGACTTTTCATGTTAGATTGATATGTTTTATATGAAATAACAAATAACAAATAACAAATTGTCAATTCATATTGGATTAACGTCTTTAATCTGAAATGACAGTTCATGGTGGAACAACATCATAAATATGAAATTGTATATATGTCTAAATTTCTAAACACCGTCGTCAATACTTAATCAAATAATGTCAAATTAATGATCATCATATTCTTTATCTTAGCCATCTGAAAAAGTTGTTGAATAGTTTCTTGATGATTTCTTACTTCAAGGTTATGAAATTAGTTATTGAATTACAAAAACAACAATCAATTAGCAAAGTTTCTTCGTAAAGTAAAAAAGCCAAAAGAAATCATGAAGTTAGAGCTCAACGTCTATACGGAAACTATTTTGATGTTAATCAGAACTAATTCCAAATGCAAAGACCTTCATTTCTTTGCATAGTTGATGGGGTATATTTGTTTTTATAAGTTGAAATCAACTTAAAACATGATTTCTTTTAATGATCTACAATAACTAGGCAACACATAGTAAATGTATTCAATGGACCCAATTATAATTAGGGGTGAGCATTTGACCCAAACGAATCAAACATGAACACTTCAATATCGGTTCTGAATTTTGGGTTTAATCGGTTCCGGGTTTAATTGGTTACGGGTTTTTGCTGGTTTGTTGCCACCGATTCTGGGTAAAGAATTGGGACCAACCCAGAAGGTTTTTGTACTGAATACGTCGTCTTCTTTAAACTGTTAAAACTTTTTTGTTTGAATTTCGGAAAAATATGTTTTTTTTTCCAACATAGTTTATTGTTTGATATCAAAGATGAATTAATGATGTTTCTGCATTGATGTTACAATTTTTACTTCATTTGGGCTCAAAGCATTAAGTAGTTATACCAACTCCATAAAAACATGTATCAACTGTTTCAACCGTATATTTGGCCATAAAACTATGAACAGGACTGGTGTGGTGTGATCTAACCGGTCCAGTTATCAGTTTTCATTATCGGTTTGAACCGGTTTCGGTTCCAAACCTGGTTCACCGGTTTCTCGCCCCAAATTATAACGAATACCAAAAGGCCTGCTGCTAGCCTAATCATATTGTAGTGAAGGTGACAGACAAAACAAGTTAGCCAGCAGAAGTTAAACAATAGCTGATGTTTTTTTACTACAGATGTATGATCTATATACATACAGGTTTTGTTCATTTTTGAAAAGCTTATTATGCACACAATAATCAACTATAATAAATGAAGATTCATTTTGCCATGTATCAATCTTTCATTAGTTTTGATACTTGTTATTTATTATATTATTGAAATAAATAATATCTAGATGTTAATTTCTAAGTTTTTTCAAATTTTAAATTAAAAAGCCACATAATACTTATATATTTATATATGTGTATGATTAAATGTAATAAATGTGATAGTAATTGTAATCAATAGTTTCTGCATTCCCTATTTCTAAATTTTATTTAAAAAAATACTTAATGTTTACATTTTAATATTTAATCTTTTGTTTAATCAATCCGTTTAATACACGGGTTTTACACCTAGTAATTAAATAAAAGCATTTACAAGGTTTTATTTTATGCATATTAGGCGAGCATCAGATTAATAATTAAAATATAGAAAGAAAAGTGTACCCAGCAGTAAAATCTAAAATGTAAGAAAGTTTTTACAGTGCAGAAAGTAAAAGTGATAAAGAAATTAAGTGATAGTGATAGGATAGGCCAAAATCTTGTTATGTACTGCTGACTTGCTTTAGAGTTTGAGTTTACCAAATCACCCCAACACAAAGTGAAAGTCAAAGTCAAACCAACCCAGTCAAAAATGAATAAACACCACCAACCAACCAACCAAACCATAAATCGTATGATAATCATAATTAATAATAAAAGAGAATAGACACATCCTCCGTCCTTGAAATACTTGTTTACATTCTTCTTCTAGTTGTATATTTTAACCGCCTTCTCATATGTGTGACGGTTCTGCACACATTAACCAACAAAAAACATTTACTTATTTTTGCTGCTTAAACAACACGTGAAATGGAAGGAAGGAAGGAAAACCATTACCTGGTTAGCTGTGAATGGCCTTTTCGGAGTCGTATCTGGGTGTTCCAATCCAAGGTACTGCTCCCATGCGCCATAAACATCTTTTCTCTAAACAAATTATTTAATAACAAAAAATATTAATCATATATGTATCAATCAATAGAAAAATCAAAATGACGTGATAATAAAAAATGAACCTGGAAACGGCTAGACACAATGTCAGAATCTTCAAGATACTCAGGTCGTCCGAGAGATAAAAACGCAAACTTCCACTATTCACCCAAAATTTATATTTTACTATTAGTCATTACGTTAATAAAATTTTGAATTTTGAATTACTAAATATGAGTAAGTACCTTGGAAAAGTCATCATCAGGAACCTGCAATTTCTTCTGAATACGAAGTTTGACATCACCCAAAGTTTCATCTTGGTGAATTATCAGAAAGAAAGGCTCTCCAAAGTTTTGTACTTGCTGCAAGTAAAATCATTAATTAAACATGGGAGGGAGTTGTTGGATTTGGATACAAATAAATACTCATAATATTAGGTACCATCTGGTTCTGTGCCGTCTCTTTTGTGAAATGGTAAACATGGATCAACCGGTCTGTGGGCGCCAGATCTTTCTCTTCTTCAGGAATCTGACACAACCAGCAACCAACATTTTTATTTTTATTTTTATTTTTCTTTACATATATAATATACAACTCAACTTACTTCCTCTGCACGTAATGTCCAGTACTGATCATTTATATTCTCAATTCTCTCTGTTAGTGGAAAGATCTGAAAGGATAAAAATAAACAAACGTCAAAAACACAATTCCCTCTAATAATCCACACAATTCCCATGGGATAGATATAAATAATTAAAAAAAATAAACATAGTGAGAGTGAGAGTGGGATAAAGTGCAATAAATACCTTGTAAATCTTATGATAGAATACTTCAAGCAGTCTCAGTTCAGCATTTGGATGTGACAGTTCCACCTGTTTGTTTCAAATCAAAACGCAATTTAATTAATTGCAGCACAAGGAAGGGTTTTCCTTTTCTGAAAAAGTTGCTACTCTCCCTGACTCACTCACTCATTCCTTGATACACCTTGGTCAAAGATATAATGTATGTAAAATTACTATTTTCGACTAAATGTAAATCCTTATCCAAAATACCAAAAATCTAATAACATGACTATTATTATACCT